TTCTCCTCTCTCCTCTCTCCCCTCTCCTCTCTCCCCTCTCCTCTCTCCTCTCTCCTCTCTCTTCTCTCTCCTCTCTCCTCTCTCCCCTTTGCGTTTCGCGACCAAGACCTCCTCCAACAGTTCTGCATTTCGCGACCGACCCCCGCGATCCCAGTGACTGTTGACACTTTTGAGACGCGAGGGCCAAACGCGAGTCCAAAAGCGACGACATATACGACAATTCTGCATTTCGCGACCGCGACCCCGCAATCCCCGTGACTGTTGCTTTTGAGACGCGAGGACCAAACGCGAATCCAAAAGTGACGACAGTTCTGTGTTTCGCGACCGCGATCCCTGTGACTGTTGCTTTTGAGACGCGAAGATGCAACGCAAGTCCAAAAGTGACGACAGTATACGACAGTTCTGCATTTCGCGACTACGGCCCCCGCGATCCCAGTGACTGTTGACAGTTTTGAGACGCGAGGACCAAACGCGAGTCCAAAAGTGACGACAGATCTGCATTTCGCGACCGCGACCCCCGCGATCCCAGTGACTGTTGACACTTTTGAGACGCGAAGACGCAACGCGAGTCCAAACCGACGACAGTTCTGCGTTTCGCGACAATTTTCGGCCGCGGACGCTTGCGAACGCTTGCGGACGCTTGCGGATGCTTGCGGACGCTCCGCGCGGATTTCGAGTCAACTCCCAACCCCAAGATCCCCAACCTCAAAACGAGAACCCTTCTGCTGCGCATTCGGGAAACGCACCTTCCATGACCCCAACGAGAGGAGTGCCGCCACGCCGAACCGATGACATCGTTGCGGCGGAGAGCGGCCGCTCAGTGCAGGGCACCCAGAGAAATGGATGAGAGGGTCGCTGCAAGGCCGCAACAAAGCGAAGAGCCCTTCTCTGCCGGCAAAGCACTGAGGCCTGCGGCCTCGCAGCGCTCGCAGCAAATGGATGCCTGGCTGGCCGGTGAGGCGCACCGACAAAATGCATTTCACCAGTGAATTACCTGAGCCTGCAAGATGACATGCCAGACTTTGCGGTCCACTGTGTCCATGTGCAGGCAAAGGCTGGCAACGTTAGAGAAGATACGTTGCCCCCTCAGCATGCAAGACTGCATATACTTCATGAATCACGGGTTGTCTTCTTCTCTGGGCTCTGCACGCTCTGCATGAAAGTAGTTCTCCTCAAGTGAAGGGACTACGCGCAAGACGTTGGAGCCATTTGGCTCAAGTGAACATGGAGCCCTTCGCCACGCCGAAAAAACGAAGGCGGGGTTCTCGGCTTAGACCGTAGGCAAGTGGAATTTCTCGCCAGATTGAGCCAGGCCCAGCGAAGAAGTGAGCTCAGAGAAGCCAGATGCAGCTGCCGAGGGGGTGCAAGCTTGGTCGGATGGCTAGATTCAGCTTGAATGGCTAGTAGCGGAAGCAAGCTTGGCAGCAGCAGAAAGTGAGGTTACTTCGGAATCAATCGAAGATAGAGCAGGCCGAGCGCCTTCTGAGCACCTTGGCTTTGTTTGTCGTGCACGTGAAAGCGTGAGTCGCATGAGCTGTCCTGAGGTGCTCGCTGGGGAGATGCTACGCTCTTCAATGAGAACATGAAACTCTGCGGTGAGGCAAGCCACCGCACTACTGCAGATTTTGCACGCGAAAGCTAACACATGCGTCCCTCTGCTTGCTTGATAGCTGAAAGGTGCTTCAAGTGATGAAGCAGGTGCTGGGTTTGGGCTGCCTTGGGAGCGCGGATGCGGAGACTGTGCTCAATTTTTTTTAGAGCATTGGATTTCATGATTCCTCGGTTGCCCAGGAGAGCAAATCCTTATTGGTCCTTGGCGAACGTGGCTCAGGGAAGAGACAGGCTGTGGATTGGTGCCTGCACCGCCTCAAGGAGGCATCGCCGGCTCCTGGCTCGCCACTTTATATCCCAGAGATCAAAGCACGCCTTGCCTGAATACATCACGCACATGGATCAGTTATAAGTTATATATGTTGTAAGACACAACTGTGGAGAAACCGCTCTCTCCCTTGCCTGGAGTCGTCCGACAGGAGCGTTCCGATGTGTTTGTCTTGAGGGCCACTGGAGCATCTTGGTCAAAGCTTGGAGGCAATGTGCGCAGATGTGCACACAGACAAAACGAAGAGACTTGACAGTGATTTGCTGAGGGAGCTTACAACTCCAACATGGAGTGCTTGCGGCATTTGGCCGCTCAAGTTGCCGAGCACTGTCTCTCAGCAAAGCCCAATTCGCTGGAGGGCTCCATGGAGTGGTTTCGCAGCCTGCTTGAGGATGGGATCAGGACAGACTGCCATTCAAGAGCGAGAGATGTTTCTGACCTTGTCAGGCGAGCTTCAGGCATGACAGTGCCATCGTGATCCTTCTTGATCAATTTGAGAAGTTCTGCTGCTTTTCACGGCAGACCCTGTTGTACAACCTCTTCAACCTTGCCCAAGAGCTGAGCACTTTGCCTGCAAACACATGGAGACCTTAAACCAAACCCGCGCTGGTGAGATGCTGAAGGCCTACTTCCATGGTGCTCCTCCATGAGTAGCTAGAGTTAGCTCGGTTTTTGGTAGCAGAAGCTTGCCTTGCTTTGTCCGACTGGTGGTGATTCGAGGCATCCGCCTATGTATCGTAGGCATTTCTGACAAGTTGGATGTTGTTTCGCACCTGGAGACCGCCGGCAGCATTCCATTGGCAGTTCGTGCACAGGTCCAAAACAGTGATGTTCCAGGGATAGATTAATTGCAGAGCCAAGGAAGCGAATACATTCCAGATTTCACATGCAGTGTCTGTATTCTACGTTTCCGCGGGAACCAGCTGAACTTCAAGAAGCACTCGAAGCTTGGCTTCTCTTACACATGTGTTTGCTTCCTGGCCGGCCTGTTTGCCCTCACGTCGCTTGTCCTTCGCAAGGCTGCGCACCAAGCTGCTATGCAATCGTTCGAGGATGGCCCCCGCAACCACAAGTCCCCAGTGGTTATCGCTGCACACAATAGCTGAGCTGAGGAATGCAAGATCCACCTGCCACAGGGCAGTAAAGGCTTGGATGACGCCTTCATCACGCAATTTAATGACAAGGTGTCTGATGCCCTTCTGGCGCAATTGCCTGACTGGATAGAGCCTCTTGACTTGAACCTTGAAGCATTCAAGTCTCCTTCGCACTTCATGAGCTTCACAACTTTGCCTAGGGAGATGGAGTGCGGCAAAAGCCCCACTTATTTCCTCTGGAAGTGCGTGCCCATCACAGACTTTCTGAGACATGCTGCCGACTGTCCAACCAGCCTACAGACCCCTCAGAAGTGTGCTCGAGTCTGTAGTCGACTTGCCTCCGTTGACTCGGCCGAGCAGAGACAAGATGTGCTGTTGTCAGGCGGGCTGGATGCCGAAAGGGTTTGTCTTGTGTACGGCAAGGTGCGAGAAGCTTCATTCATGACCCAGGCCTTACCGAGGGCGAGCACATGATCCTGCTCGCACTGTACCGTCAATGGGATCGAGCGCAGCAGAAAACTCGAAGCCTCAGCACGACGCTTTACGAACTCAAGCGTTTGGTGGCCAACGAAGGCTGGCGGTGTAGGGATATGCGCTGGCGGAAGTCTGAGCAAGGAGCTGCAATGCAAACAAAGCAAATCATACAGCTGCCGGCCCTGTGAGGCGTGTTGGCTGCCCATACAGATGCAACATTGACAAGGGCCTTTGAGCGGCTACTGGAACTCAAACTGGTCCGATTCAGCCCTGGTGCATCAGAGGATGTTCCCAAGATGTTCCGCGCATGTGAAAGCAGTGTGGATAGCATTTACCGGAAGTGGGTGTCTTGTTGCATTGGCGCTGTATGCGTGCTGGCTTGATTCCAACCTGCACGTGCAAGAGCGCAGTGCTGCACATGACAGCTGGACCAGGTAGCGGGCCTGTCCGATAAGAATGCGAGCGAGAAGCAGAAGGTAGACGAGCTGCCCAACCCTCTGAGACGGTTGCCAGAAGTCGTTCGGATAAACGTGCTGAGGGAATCCAGCATTTGAACGGCCCACCTTGATATGTTTTTTGGCGCGCTGGAGAGCGCGGAGTTGCGGGAACTCGCGTCTCCCACCGAGTTGACTGAAGCAAAATGAGTGAAAAGGGACCGTATTTCTGTTGTCGTGCCCAGGCTAGGCGAAGGTCTTAGCCAGTCAATCCGAAAGCCTCTCCAGCAAAGCTTAGCAACCTCAGCAGGTTCTGCACATTGCACGCCTGCTGTAACATGGCATGTGAGGTCGGAACCTGGGCTGCCGAAGGCGAGCATGGCAGCGCAATCTGTTGCATACTAGGGTTTGCGACCTCCTTGGCTGAGTCACTGCAGGCTCGCTAGTTTCGTCCCCATGCGTTCGGGTGGTTCACCTTTGAGAGCCAAGCCTGCTTCTCGCGTAGCTGGTTGACGAGGGAGCTGCAATCATAGTGCCTGTCCAACCCAGATGTCCCAGATCCGTCCTGGAAGGAAGGACGCTGGAAAGGATCAAAAGGATCAAATCACCCAGGTAATGATCAGGTACCAAGACAGCATCATGACATGATCAGTGTCTAGCTTCTCGCAAAGCATTATGCGTCCGGCGTCAGGCCTGCCCGATCTCTCGAAGTCAAAGTGGTTGACTTCGCTTGGCTCGCCAAAAGCTGTCGTCCCTGCATGCGTAGCTGGCGTAGCTTGCAAGCTGGCAGAGCGTAGCTGCCGGGCAGCTCCTGTGGCATGACTGAAGCCGCAGCCAATTTGTCTTCCTCGCTGAACTCCTTTTGGCTCCTGTTGGTGGTACCGTGGGTGGGCAGCTGTAAATACTATGAGATGGCAACAAATGTGAGTGCGAGGGTCGATGGGGCAAGTCCCAAGCATGTGAACACTTGGAGGTGCCAAGGTTGGCCGACCGAATACCTCGCTTGTCAGCCCACCCTGACTCTTCATTCATACACCTTGTCTCCAACACTTCAAGCCTAGCAGCTCGCGCGTCATTTTTCTTTCTGTTGCTGAGCAAAGCGTGGCTTCGAAGTTTTCCAGACGCCGCTTCGAAACCATGGTGCTGTCCTCAGGCAGACTTGGCCAGCAACCTTGCTGCTCCATCAGCCTTGTGAGCTTCAGAGTTGTTTCCAACAGTCGCCTGCTGCTTCCTTAGTGGCCCAAGACCACCAAAATAGTAAAACACATGTTGCTCACACGAACATCACCAGGTCCTTCCCGAGACTAGAGTTAGCGGTGCTGGGTTCGTGCGTGGTGATCTCACCTGGAAGCCTAGCGGATGCAGTGGGTGACAAGCCTCTGGTCAACAGGCCTGACAGCCTCCGCGTGTTGTTGAGTGAGTGGACTGTATCATGCAAAACTGCGTGGGTTGCAGGGGCGGCCGGCACCAACAAGGCCTATCGACCACTGCTTCCTGGCCCTGGAGGGAGTGATGCGCTGGCACTTGAGACTCCTGGGCCGCACTTTGCGCACTTTCCCCTGGACTTGTAACCGCCTCTTCTTCCTTGCCTGCGAATCTACCCAGGTCTGCGAAAGCTGGCGAGCTCCCCATCGATATAGAGTCCGATAGACGCCGACCCTTGGAAGAGATATAGTTGCAGGTATGAGGTAAAGGCAGGGCCAGAAACTGGGCTAAAAATTCGATTCAGCAAGAAGGGGAGGAGGAGAACGCTTGTGTAGGGCCACCCCTTGTCTTGCTAGCTGGATGGCAACGGACATTGACATACATTGAATGATTCTGACAATGTTGTTGCAGCAAAGCAAGCATCGAGTAGCCAACAGAAAAGCCAACTCACAAATCTAGAGACTCTTGCGACGACTCAGGATCTGCCCTCACCTGGCTGCTGCAGAGCAACGAAGATGAAGTCCGCAAGGTTTTGATAGATCTGGCGGAGCGAAGAGCTTGGCTTCTGCAGCAGGCACGAGCTTGCCAGATTTCTGACCAAACTGGCTACCTCTTGCTGGTTGTCGGAAGGCATTGGAAGCAGCGACTGACTGCTCGAGCTATCTAGGCTCGCCTCGAAGGCAGGAATCGCCTCGAAGGCAGGAATCGCCCCACAGGCAAGAAGCAGCACTGCAGTATAAAGATAAAGCAATAACTATAGATTTGTTAAATGCCGGCACTTTCCAGGCTGAAAAAGCGGGAGCATGGCAGTCAGTGGCTTGGGTGCATGTGCTGTAAGCGCCAAGACGTGGCCTTGGGTGGCTTGCAGGTTGCAGCATTTTGGAATACCAAGAGAAATCACTGTGCCATCACGTGCCAGTGTAACAGAGCTGCAATTCACCTGCAGCCTCTAAAGGTCCTTGGTGCTCGGATCCCAGGTTGATGCAGCGGACTTTGCAAATTGCTGCAGCAACGCCAACTGCCAAGCCGACTTCCTCGAAATCCTTCAAAACCGGCAAGACAGACTTGCCGCAGAATTGGCAGGATTGTATCGTGCAGTTTTCATCCCCTGTGCCTTGTTTTGTGATTGGCCGGGGGAATTTTTTGAGCCCAAGCTGTGGCGCGGCTTACATTGGCTCAGGTATATTTAGTTGAAGAGGACGATGGGGAGGTCGTCCTCGATATCGTTCGCGTAGGGCCCACCGCCGCTCAAGTTGCACTCACAGCCGCCTCTGCCCTCAGACCAATGTGTGCCAGTCTCCTGCCCCATTGAGGATTCAGCTTGTCAAGTGAGCTATGCTACGCGTGATTGCTCCGCCAAAGCTGACACTTCTTTCAAGGCCTCAAGCTTAACTGCCTTAGTAGGGTGCCAAGCAGTCGGAATAGAGCGCAGATTGTGCCAGGCCACCGCAGGCACCGTGCATTATGATCCGGGTGAGTTCATGAAATCCATTGCGGTGCCGCTCATTAGTAACACCAGCGACTTGTCAAGACGGTCATGTCTTCTTGGTTGGTCCAAACGTCTTAGAGTGGATTAAGTGTACCGGCGCATGGATTTCTCACTGTTGAAGTTGCTGGGCTCTCCAGCCAGCTGAGGATGGGATACTCACGTCGAATTTGCAGTGGAGCTGTTGGAAGATGGCTTGACAGGTGCGGTGCTTGGCCACTACCTGCATGAAACTCGCGTGAAAATTATTGATACTTGGCTAACACAAGCTTTGGAGTTAAACGATGTCCCTCTTGTCATTGTCTGGAGTGGATGTTGTTTGTTGTCGCAGCAGTGCTAACAAGTGCAGTAAGCACTGCTTCTGCATCATTTCGCCCAAGGATGATGACACCTTTCCCTCCACTCGCTTCAAAGACCAGGTTCTCGCACAGGATTTCGACTCCATCCCCAGCTACTTGGCATGCCCCTCTTGATTCTTCCGCCCGAGGTCATGCTCCGTATGCTGTCTGTTCCCGTGCTCCTGTTGCTGAGGATTGGGGCTGCTCCGGGAGTACATCTCTCGAAATGTCGGGGAGACGCTTGTGAAGCAAGGCACTATCAAGATGGTGATGGTGGCTGCGCTCGACAGATCCTTGCATGCATCTTCATGCCTTGACTCCGCGCGGGAGGTTTGGTTGTGATGAGTCATTTTACGAGGTTTGTTCTTGATGTTCAAGCTGCTCCTGAACCTCTACATCCTGCAGTATGTGCTGCAAAAGGACTACCCAGCAGAGGACCTGCTGATTGTTTCTGAAGCTTGCCAGAGTTATTCAAGAGTTCCACGATGGGAAACGTGCTGCCAAACCCTGTGTTTTCCTCAGTGCGCAACAGAGCATATGCAAGCACGCGTGATAGGTGTTCAAACGTTCACAGTTGTCCAGCGTTGCATTGAAGCCAGTAGCGCTAGACCTCCTCGGGCCCTGTGAGATGCCAAGGATCGAGTGGAGTTCCTTTACGGCTCCATGGCCATCTTGCTTTTATGGTTCGGCTTCCAGCTGCTTTTCTGCATGAAGTTTTCCGAGCTGGTGTGCGGCTGCTGTTCTGGATCGTAGTTGTGGTTTGAGTTGTAGGACTATCGAGAAGGTAGTGGAGTTTGCAGTTGTTTGTCCCCGTGTAGGCATTACCTGCACTACCTGCAGCCGACTTGGAGAGTTGCCGGGCTCACCCGTGCAGCCCTGCGCTTAGCAGCCACGGGCAGCCCCGTCTCACTCAGATCTTCCCAATGCAAGGTCTTACAAACCGGGCTCATTTCTAGCTTTCTGCTGCTTGGCTGAACATTGTAGTGTTGGGCCGCATATCACAGTAATTTTCATGCCCATGGGCTACAGCTGCATGAGTTAGCTGCAAAGGGCGTATGGCATGGGACAACCCAGGAGCTATGACGAAGAGTCGCGGAATACAGTGGATACTGGCATCTTGCCCTTCTTAGCCCAACAGCTCCAAGCATGTAAGCAATTGTCTATTGATGCCTGCTGGAGCTGTCATTGACAGGACAGATTGGTATGGCAATGATCCATGATGTGCCAAATCTGGTCAACAACGGAAGCTTGGCTCTCAACAGCTGCTCCGCTTCCTAAGGTGGTAAGCGGAGGCCATGCTGTGCAATGGAGCAAAAGTTAGAGACTACTTTCCAACCGTAAGCACCAGGATACCTGGGTTTGGTCGCCCTCATTAGCGCAGAGACTTTGCTGCAAGCTTTTGTGGGACTGCAAGCCACCGCTTGCCCTGCAGCTGGTTGATGAGATTTTTTCATGGGACCGTGCTTTTCAGACTCAGGTGTTCAAGCTGATAGTTATGCTGGCATTTCAGATCGTGGTGCCGCCCCTGCTGGGCCGGCGCCACAGTGCTCATTTTGCTTTCACAATTCATCAGGTGAGTGCGGCAAGGCTACCTTGGTTTGCCACCTCTACTTCGATCCAAATCGTAGTCACATTATTCAGACACCAGTAGACCCTCAGGGGAGCAGACGCTTAACATAATCACGCAACCAAGGTAAGAGCCCCACATGGCTCGGTCATGGCCCCAGTCCTGTGCTGGAAAGGTCTTGCACACTTTTGGTCCAACTATTAGTACACGCAGTTCAGGCATGGAGGTGCAAGCTTAAACAATGCAGATGAGCTTGGGCTGGGGGTGTTATGGTCCCAGACGTGAGTCTCTGAGGAGTGGTCCCGGCTCTATGCATTCCACTGGTTACGCGCCTTGCCACAAGACATCCCCTGGAAAAGTTCTCACGAATTTACCTGCTGATCAGCCTTGAACCCACCTATGCCAATGCATGCTGGCATGCCAGCGCGGACTTGAAGCTCTTCAGCCGAAGCATCAGTCACGTTGCAAGTAGACTTACCACCACGCACGCCCAGAATCAAGTTCTGTGTTCAGCACGAGGGTCTGCCCCTTGAAGTGCCTTTTGGCCACCACATCTGGTGGCAGTGGGGTTGAGAAGCACACATCCACACTGTAAGCATGCGCTGGCAAATGCATGCAGCATGACAAGTCTGAAGGCAAGTGCCACCTGACAAAATGAGAGAACATGTGCCAACGAAATGCATGCTGTTCATGGACATGTGATGATGCCCTGGCTTTTCGGGTGCCAGCAAGTGATTGTCACAGACAGGCTAGCTGAGGTGCATTTTCTTGTGCCTGCGATTCAACTCCCAGACGTCTGTGCTGCGTGACAGCGAAGACAAGGCCAATTTCATCAATGCCAAAGGTTTGGCTTCTATTGTGGGCTGGAGGTATGACTTAAGAATTGGAGGTTTGCTACTTAGTTAACGCATGAGGCACCAACAGACTCAGAGTTTGGAAGCAACTGCACAATCCAGGAAGCAGGCATGGTGGGCTACATCACGCAGCCTGGATCAAACTTCATCATGTATTTATCTTGGACGTTCTGGGTTCAAAATGCACAGGTAGCCCAGTTGGTGCTTCCAGAGAACAGCTTTCAATTCTTGGCGGCATGACTGCCCAAACAGTGCCTGAGGGAGAGCGTGCGGATTTTTCGCTTGGTTGCCGACTTTGGCTGCATGGCTGCCAAGAACTTCGTGTGGAAAGGAGCAGGCAGGGCTGGCCAACAGAGTGTCTGGCATGCCGCTGAGGACAGTCAGCCTCCGTGATGGTGACTTGTGCTGCAATTGCTGCGAGATGTGCATGCCAAGCTAGCAATAGGCTCACGCAATCCTAAAGCTTTTGCGCGGCATGGCAGCCAAGGATGCTTTTCATGATCGCCTGATGGCATTTAACAAGTCGGCGATTGATGCTAGACTTGAAGAGATCCAACGGGTGGGCCTGATTCCACTATGTATGAATTCCCAGGCAGTGACCCAGATGGAGGTAAACAACCAGCAGTTTGTGCAATGGATGCTGCTCGGCAACGCTTGTCCCTTGAGACCTGCTGCTTTTGATCAGTGCAGATAGCGAAGGACAACCTTCCTGGTTGCGGTCTACACTGTATTTGGTGGCATTTCCGTCATGAATGACCGGCTGGAGTTTGGCATGTATGTCGCTTGCATTCACGAAGCCAGCCAATGGCGTCCAGCCCAACTGGAACTCCTAAACCATGCTTCCTTTCGACGGCCGCCTCCCCTTGCGGCATGAGCTCAGGTCACCAACATAGGAGTTTTCAACACAGCCGGGGCTGCTGGCGCAGATGCTGGGCTCTGTTGCGTAATTTTTTCGCGAAGCTGGGGTCGCTACTTGTAGGTATGGTCTCATGTTGCAGGGTGTGCTGGGACAAGCCAGCTCGCAGCCAGAACACTTCTGGCTTTAAGACCGTAAGGAGCTGTGCAATGTCCTGCTGGCGATGCAGAAAGTGGCTCCGTCCCTGGACCGCTGATTGCCAGCAGATGCCAGCAGTTTGCATGTCTCGGAATGGGTGAGCAGGCGACAAGTCAAGACTTGACCGTTTGTGCAGTAGTCAGAAGAATGCTCGCAGGATCGTTTGGTCAGATTTTTGAATCTGCCTACGGATCTGCTGCATCGCGGCTTGTTGCAAACTAGTGCCCGCGCATGGTCGAGAGCTTCCGCCGCATGATCCTGATTGCCGTCCATGGCAGCATGAGACGGGGACCGTGGTGACCCCTAGAAAGATGCTAAAAGGCGGTTAGTTCCAGAAGCGACTGGTCCAAGCTGTCCTCTCTTTGTTGCGCCATGTCTTGCTGTGTCTGTCTCCGAACTACCGCAAGGTAGAGACTTAGAGCGTCACCGTCGCTTAGCCACCGCGCAGTTCGTCAAAGAGAAGACGGGCGAAGTTCCCGACGCAGACCCAGGAGCAGCAAGTGGATCGTGACTTCCAAATCCCGAGACTCAGATTTTAAGATGTTTTAAGCATCCCAGAAAGCTAGCCTTGCTTGGCAGGATTCGTGGTGGACATGCTCAACCTGGCACCTGGGCTGCGAGTTTCCGACCGTATTCAGTGACATGGGAAGGCCAATACAGCCATTGGCAAGGCCATCAGCAATCTGCAGTTCTCGTACCCAGACGGTCAGCCCGTCAGCTTTGACGGAAGGCCTTCTGTCTCAGCAGTGGCAGCGAAGTGGGCAGGGGAAAACTCAGCTGGCATGTTTCGCAGGCTGGAGTTCCCGCAGGGCAAGCTTCTTGCGATTGTCGGGGCTCGACACTCCGGAAAGTCGACGCTACTGAGGAGGGCTCCAGTGTTCCAAGATGGTGCGAGTTTGAGTGCTTGGATGAAACTACTTGTCGAAGGGTTTTGCATCGGTCAATAATCACGACTTTTTCCTGTAATTCTGAACAGTGTCCGCCACGCATGCCTCTGGCCTGACACCAGGGATTTGGCAAGGAAGGATTGTAGCCAGGAGCGCAGGGGTGTTGCGGGTCAAAAAAAGGGCGGGACGCCACGTAGCAAAAGTTGCAGACGCAGCAGGCATGTAGCATCCCAAATCGCACCAAGCTGAATTGGGCGAGTTCCAGTTTTTGGTGCCTTTATTGATTGCAGTTGGATGTTCCTTGGGCTGTTCTGTTTTCACAGACGCCTCAATCCAGCCAAAGGTAGTTCCGGATGTCCACCGTGCCAGGATTCTTGCGGGGCGAAACCTGCCCCAGCTGCTCCATCCGGGGGCTCTCTTCTTTGTTCCTGCGCACCTTCAAGCTGCTCGGGCAAGGGTACCGACGTTTCAGTTGGGGCTGTAGTAGTGGCTTTGTCCAAATTCTGATGGAAAGGGCGCTTAAGTACTTCATCCAAGGTACTGTACGTGCCGCACACGATCCTATTCTTCCATGGCAGTCTGTACGACAACTTGGTCTATGGTGCCAGGTGGACTCTGATCATGACCCATATGTACACGTGCTTCCTGCACTTCACCACGCTTTCAGGCATGAGGAAGACGCTGCCATGCAGCGAGTTCTGAACATTTGCGAGAGCCTTCACTTGGGACCCAAGATTCTGGACAGCCTTTGCCAGAGGTTGCATGGAGCTACTTGTAGCCTGAAGCCGGTGAAGCTACAACTGGGTAGCTCTTGATGGATTAGCCTCATGCTCATGCTGCATACAATCTGCAGGAGGAGATCAAATCGCAAGCCGAGATTAAGGAGCGCGATTGGGCCAACAAGCTTTCGGCCACACAGCCGCGCGGCAACAGTGACTGAACGTCTCACTTTGGGTTTAGTGGTGCTTTGTCCCAGGTCTCAGGCACTTTCCCTGGCGAGGGCTTTTATCGCAAATGCAGCTACGGCCTCAGATTGTGTGAGCCCGTTGCGGAAGCCAGTGGTCATAGGTCCAGGTACAGAGACAGTGTTCTGGATGCATGTCTGCCTATTTGGTCTGAGGAGTTGATGTGCTTGGAAAAGCCCACAGAGCAGTTTCATGAGGAAGACGCCAAGCGGATCTGCAAGCACTTTGGCCGAAAGCCTTCAAACTGTTGAATCCCAAAATGCTGTAAATCCTGACAACTCAAGCTTCTCCTTCGAAAGGCTTCTTCGCATGCACGTGAAGCAGCGAGGCGCCGGGGTGGAAAGATCAACATTCAAGGTTCAGAGTGTATTCCTATTGCCGAGGCCTCGAGACCGATGAGGAAGCCATTCTGCGCCGCAGACCTCGGACGTGCATATTCACCACAAATCGGTTGTTGCCCTTCTGCAAGCCAAGCACTTCTCGTCAGTCAGCCAGGCAACCTTGCAAGCTGCTGAGACTATGCTAAGGTTGTGTGTTAGAGCCGCAGAAGCCTGCTACATGGCTCCTTGGCTGGGCAGAGCTTCTCCTGGATGCTTGGATGCTTTTTGAAAACTGCTTCCGCTTTGCTGAAGTGGATAGCTCTCCCAGTTGAAAAACGAGGTTACGCACGACAAAGGTGTCCAGCAGATAGCGAGTGATTTGGCATTCTCCAATTACCAGGGTGCTGCCAGTGTTCTGAGGTTGAGCATAGCCAGGAGCCGCCCAAAGCCTGATCCCATGTTATGTTGTGAGCGAGGTCCGGGAAGTAGCGAAGGATTGTAGTATTAGAGCCGGGGCCGAGGCCTGGATGGAATTGCAAGGTTCGAAGAAGCTGACGCTGTAGAGGGGCTGGGGCCGGATTCCAGGATAGAATGGCAGCAGGACGGGGATGGATGGGATTGATATCTCAATGATAATGTACTTCTCTCTCTCTCTCTCGAGATGCTGTAGCTGCTGATTTATGTGAACGTTGCTATGTGTCGTGCTTCTGACCCGAGTGCGAGAATACACTTCAGCCCCCTAGCATGCCTCTCAAGTGCTTTGCTCCAGGCCTGGCCTTGTTCTCTCATGAGTGTTTTTGAGCTGAAGTTTTCCTTAATGAGGTTTGGCAGTGTCAGAAGGTTGCAGGCCAAATGTTTGATAGCAGATGAGGCGTTGATAGCCTGGCAACCAGTCCATGGCTCTGTAAGGCAGCGAAGTCACCGAGCAGATGTTGCGTTGAAGGACAAGCAGGGACCAAAAACTGGGTGAAGAGAACCCGCAGAATTCAAAGTTGGCTACAAGAGCGATAAGATGATATGTTTTTGCTTCTAAAAAGTGGCGTTGAGCCTGCAGGACAGTTAATATGGGCACGAGTCGTGCAGGACTTCTTGAGCCAGCACCTGGTGAGATGAAGAAATACATCCACCGGAAGTTCATTGAAACGTAAAACACGGGCTCCTCTCATGGGCCCTCTCTCTTTGTATGCCGTAGAAATGTGCTTCAACGGCAGATGCACATTTTCAATATTTTCAAGCACTATGATTGAGCAAACACTGCTCGCAGGTGCCAAAGCAACTTTTCGATGTACAAGACTTCCGCGAAGCTGACAAGTCACGCGGGCTTCGCAATCCTAGTGTAATGTTGTGTTGCCGCATGCTTGACTCGCATGTTTTCGGCATTTGTTCAGTCAGTAAGAGCCAGTGCAGCTCGAGTTCGGATGTTGCTGTTTCATGGACGGCTAGCACGGCTCAACGCCTGCCGTCAAAGAGCTCCCTGAACGGAGCACAGAACCGTGAGCCGTGCCTATCAAAGATTTGACGTGCTGACGAGCGGAAGGTCTTGCTATCTTGAGTTAGATGGGCTGCTGTAGGCTGAACTGCCCTTCTCAAGGCGATGCCACCTCCGACCGGAACGCAGCAGCCCAATGGAATGAGATGTGCGGGGCGGTTGGGTTCCGGTCATTGCAATCTGCGAGACGACTGGTTAAGGACTGAGCACCGGCGCAGGGCACGAGTAAACAAGGCAAATGAGGCACGGCAATGTGTTTGCAAGTTCGTGCATAGTTATCATCTTGCGAATCTTGCGAGCACCACAAACTCAGCTGCGTTAAATGTGTAACGTTGGTACCGGGAGGATAAAATCCGAACGCGGTCACAAGGACTGACGCACTGCATGCTGTGTGTGCTCTGCCGCTGAAGGGTTCGAGGCCAAGTGCGCAGCTATGCGCAGCTCCTAAACCTCCTGCGGCCATCTCTTGCTACCAGCTACAATCTGCAGCCCAGTTAGGCGCCAGTTAGTGCCCCCATTAGCTCTTTGCGCTTGGACACCGAGGAGTTTTTTCTGGGCTTGGGATCTGTATTTCTGTGTCTCACACCCGCTTCAGACCTTTGGCAGGCCTCACGATACCGGCCTGCAGTGTATCTTTGTGCGTTGCCGCGCTCACCTTTACTGTGCAAGGACTGCCAACTTGGGGTGAGGTTTGTGTCTCAGAGTCAGGGAATGTGGGGGCTTAGCTTGCCTGTGTGCTTTGATGGGCGATCCCAGGCGAAATTCGCTGGAGCCTCACATGGACTCTGCATGTGGAGATCCTGCACTGGAAGCAGCTCAATTGGCCTCGCGCAGGCTATGCCCCCAACATCCCTGCCGATGAAGGGCAGCAGCGGCCTCACTTGGGTCCTTGCTGCATGAGCCTGGAGCCCATGCAGTTGTTAATTTGCGAGGCTTGCGAACAGAGCTGACAAGGCAAACCTGCTGTACTCTGGTGCATTTTGGCAAGGAAAAACTCAACCAGCTGTGGAGCATTTGCTCGGGGAAGCCAAATAAGGGAAGCCAAATTTTGTATTCCTCGTTCCCAGAATTGAAGCCAAGTGAGCAGTTCACTTAGATTCGCAGGCTGAACGCCGCACATAGGGCGGAGGCCTGGGAACAACACTTGCCCAATCACAATGCGCAGAGAGCACATGATCAGCAAATGCTCAACAACCCACGCGCCGCATAGCAGGCTGATCTCAGAGAATCGCCGGAGGACGATCTAAGAAATCAGCTTGGTACAACATTTCAAGTTCCCAGCTGTTTTTTTGGGACAATTAGCCTATTAGTTTGTGTTTGCATGTGTTGGATCTTGCTTCAAGGAGGTAGTAGAAGCTGCAGAATGGTTACGTTCGGCCTCGGCCTTAGGAGACGGATGCAAGCTGCTCCCTGAAACAGCAGGGAAGGGGGGGGGGGGCGGGGCGGACCAAAAAATAGTGCGGGACAAATCAGGCGGATGCCCTTCTCATCGGTGCAGGTGCTGGTTTAGGCTTGGCAGATTTGGATTGCAGCGCTTTTGCAGTGCACATGTCACAGAGACTTATTTCTCAGGTGCCCATGGCGGCTTTCCAACGCTCGAGGGCCCCGAAGCTTTGAAGGCATGATGCCCAGCTTTCGTTTGGTTTGCACCATTTTTTGGAAGAAAATCCCAGGAATTCGCAGGCTTCCCGCTAGAGGAAGTTTATTGCGCCAATTGTTTCTTGGAGGCTGGGCAGTGAAGAGTTTTTTTGGTCTCACATGTTGGTGTCGCGCACAGGAGCAGGATGATTCAAAGGATTCAAGCCTCAAGGCATGTTACCCTAGGGAGATGTTTGTATGCATGTTGGTTTTCTGTTATGACAGTTTTTCACTGGCAAGGATCCGTATTTGGCCTGGGCTTTGTGGGGTACCCTCCAGAGGCAGGGCAAGCAGTCAATCGAGGCCAAATTCAAAGTGAGGGCTGACGTGCCAGGAGATACCGCAACCCACCGGACGATGCCTTGAAACCCTACAAGCAGGTGAGGGCAGAGGATCTGAATTGGAGCGCTGAGAGTTTGACATTTTGAAAGGTGCTGAACTATGCAAAGCGAGCACCATTAGGTGCATTCTGCATCACGACCGCAGCCTGGGGCTGAGAGTCCGTCAAGATGCCACTTGAGAACTTTGACACCACACTTCGTGCAGGTGGACGGTGTGTGGTTGCAGAAAGGCTTAGGCCAGGGCTCATCATTGCATGTGGCAGTATGCGCATGGGCCGCATGGGCTTTTTGTGATAGACCGTTGTTGCGAAATGCTGAGCTCCCGCTGCAATCCAACAAGCAATAAAGCAGTCAAACTTGGTAGAAGAAGCACTTGTGATCAGGCTGGCCGGAGACTGCCCTGCTCGAGCTCCACGGGCGGTCAGGCGAATCCAAGACTTTTGTTGCAGCACGTATTCGAATGGCCTCATTGCTGATGGCCGTCTCGGCTTTCTCGTCTTTCTCACCGGCAGAGTCTTCAGGGGTAGTTTAAAGACATGCAAGGCAAACATGGGTTTGGTTTTGTCATATTCTGATGGCCAGATGTCCCGTCAGACCAGAGAGAAAAGTAGATTTACAAGGGCAAGGAAAAAAGAAAGCAGGTGGATGCAATTGTGGGCGAGCGTACCTCAGGCTTTCTTCAGTGCTCAGTGGGCTGCACAAAGAAGGCCTGGCAAACATCGCACCTTGGTCAGCTGAGCTTGAACTTTGCATTGGGCAGAGCGGACTAGGTGTGGCCTGCTGACCAAGATTTGTGCCACTTCCTAAGCACAGCAACCGAAAGCAAAGCCTAGTCGATCTACCATTCCAGCGCGAGAGAACGCCGTCGTAGTAGCTTACGCGCAGATTCCGAGGTGAGCAGCTTGAGCTGGACTCTCAGACTCGCTCGTTCATGGCCTGGCAAAGGTTTGGTATGTTTTCGACGGGCTTTTGCTATCATTTGTATTTGTATGCTGATGTTTATCCCAGCCCAGGATTCCAGATCCTCCGACGCAGAAAGAGCTAAAGGCGGTTGGAATCGTGTTGATTAGGGTGATGAGCTACCGCAGCATGAAGATGTGAGCCAGAGCAGTGAATGTTGCATGGATGAAGTAGAAAGAATCACAAGGGCTTGGCAAAGCTGTAGTCTTGTGCCGGTGTCCGTGACCTTTACGCAAGGCGCTCGAAGCGGCTGGAAAGTTGCTCGTGTCCTATTTGCTGAAGCACATCGGAAAGTTCAGGGTAACCTCGCCATGGGACATGTGCACAGTAGCCCATTATGCTCCAACGCGCGGCTTCAAAACCCCTTTCTCATCCAAGGCTGGATGTGGATCGCTACCGAGCGCAGGGAACCCTCCCAGACACCTGGCTCGAGCAAACAGTACGTTCCCAAACAGCCATACCAAATGTTCTTGCAGCTTTGGGGTTTACGGCTTTGGGATCCAGAAAGTTTGATGACACTCAGGGCTAAAAACTGGGGATGTCAGCTTCTTCATCTGACTGTGAAGTGTCTTCTGCTTCAGCGATGCCTCCTCGCAGTGATAAGGTCCACCATGCACACGGGTGCTTCATAACAAGTATTGGCATGTTGCCAGAGCTATGGACCAGGGCTCATTGTTGGATGGGATTCCCGCTTGGCCGTTTGCTGGGGGTAGACAGGCACACTCATGCTTTGAGCAGCCCAGATGTCGTTCACCGTTCCGTTGCAGCTGCAATCTTGACATGTTACAGAACACTGAAAGCTGATAGCAGAACTGACATGGGCTTCAGGACTCCAAGCGTTGACAAGAGTCTCAGGTGTGTCCTGATTGTGGACGACCAGCGAGACCTGCTGTCCTGAACCTAGGGGTTAGTGACCATAACGACGTTCGGTTTTGAAACGAATGGCGGGTTTGCAGCTAGTCTATGTCTGATGGCTTAGTGCCGCTACATCCCAGTTACCGTCTACAATGATAGCAGCTATGTGGCTCTGCCGATGCTTTGCATGTTGACGCCCGCGGCTTTTGGCTTGCAGTTTATTTTCCTTTAATGCCGGATGGCTAAGCCACCGCTACTTGGAAGCACGCTGGTGGCCTCCCTCCTGTGTGACTGTGACTTGCCAGGGAGGTCAGGCCTCAAGATTCTGATGCCGAACAAGTTTCATCCCGTTTGGTCCCGAGGGCGGAGGTGCCGATGAGGCCCGCCTCTTGGTGCCTACATCCAGCGCCCCTGCTGCACGCGAGGGCTTCAACCCAGCTCTGGACCGGGTTCATAGCAGATGTGCTTGTTGCGTGCCAGGTGCATTTCAGAGATAACAAGTGCCTTCCCGTCAAGCCAAAGAAGCCTGCCAAACACCGACACATTGACTTGGAGGAGACGGTGTTTTTGGGATGCAGATCAGTTTTCGTGAGTTTCATGAGTCATTCACTTGTGCATGTCGCGCAGCGCTCCAACTTTACGAATTTTGAGGGGCAGGGACGCCCTCCGAGACCGATTGCTCAGGTGCAAGGCTGCTCGGGGCTCGCTCTACACAAATGATCCCGGACTTGCCGCTGGACTGCTGATCCTAGAATTAGCTGAACGGAGCACCACTCCATTGAAGTGCTGAGGTTCCACTGACCAAATTGCATTGGAAAAGAGCAGTGTCCAACCAGTCTGCCGATGAGCGCCTCCAAGACAATGCAGAAATGCGGATTGAACGCAGCGGTGCCTTGTACTGTTACGGACCCTTGCGCATGATGCGGCCAGGGAAAGCCGAGCAAACAACTTGATTGAAGATATTGAAGTGTGCGAAGTGCCCTCAGGGTTCCAGGATAAACTTGTTGAGCGTCAGTTGGGATGAAGATCAGGTCCGAAGCGGTGTTGCATTCACAATTTGGCGCTGCTTTTTCTAATTATTTGCATTGTGGAAGCCAAGGCATTTCAATTCTTTTGAACAAGCAGTGCCTTGATCACAAACAAATGGAGTGCTCACGGCTGGCTTGCCAGTTTCTGTTTCGAGAACAGCCTGGCCTTGACATGTGATGTCCTGCTTTAAGGATTGTCAGAGTGATACCTCTGCTCCTGGCAGACGTGGCTTACAAGAGCTCGGACGACACTTTCACGCGCAGCTTGACGCAACCAGTTAGAGCTGCGGTGCCCGACCAGGAACCTTGGAGGTAAACAGCTGACGGAGACGCAGATCACTAGCCTCCGTTGCTCTGGCTAGACTAATTCCTTACTTCCAGGTTGCAACGTTGGATACTTCATGAATCGGTAATGGCATGAAGAAGCTACAGCCATCACCTCGCAAAATACTTGTTGAAATGCTTTTTCATTTTTCGAGGCTAGGCTGTTGTGCGGATGTATACGCTGGACAAGTCTACTGTCAGCCTCTCATACTTTTCGAGAATCGAATCCAGTTATTGAACGTGTATAAGCGGGCGATGATGGGTACACAGTTTGCTTGCAAGGCGTGTGCCCTACTGCCAGCCCATCAAACCAAGGTGTAGACTCAGTGCAGACGTTGTTTTAAAGTTCCCTCTCCTTTGCGTCAAGCTCCTGCTCACTTGATTTCTCTCTGTTTTTGTTTTTGCCACTTGTCTGAAGCTCCACGCCCCATTTCCTCAGAAGACTATCTAATGTCTTCAGCCCAGCAAGTAGCTCATGGCCTTGAAGAGCTTGTTGTTTTGCATCATGCCTT